ATTAAATTGTGAAACATCAACATTTAATGTATTAAAATTTCAAACTTGACGGATATGACTATAAACTAACAGAATGTTTAACGAATTGTTTGTGAATCGTTCGGCAGAAAGTTCATTTATATTCGTTTATTTTTAAAAAAATGAACATGAACGCAAATTCTCGTTTGTTTAGTTAAATGAACGAACATGAACAATACTCTTGTTTGTTCGTTCAATTATGTTCGTCAACGTTCGTTTATTTAATTTTCTTTTATGTTCATATATATTCAATTATGTTTATTTATCTCCGTTAGGATGAACATAGGTGGGTACCCGTCTCATTTCGTTGGAATCGGAACCAGACTCAGAACCGACGGTTCCTATGAAGTTAGAACCGGAACTGGTTTAGGCGGTTTTTAAATTTTTGGAACCAATCTCGGAACCTGGGTTTCTGGTTTCGGGAGCAGTTAATTCGGTTACGCCATTTTTTTTAGTTTCGTTAATACAAAATAATTTTTAGCCGTTGAAATAAAAAAAATAAATATTATAACTAGTTCGTTACGATACAATTTACAAACAACAAAAAGAATAATCGTTTTAAAAGATAATCCAAGTTGCTAAATACAAGTCATAAACCAAATTTCATATTCTTACCATCAACATGTTAATGTTAATTAACGTCTAATCTTTTTAAAAATATATAGTGGAGCTCGGTTAATTTTCGGTCCGGAAGATCCATCGGTCATATGTGTCATGTCATACACATATACAAGTTCCTCATGGAATTGGTTAAAATGTTTTCATTGTTTTATAGATGTTATAATAAGCATCTTAATATCATTGCTACACAATTGACTAACACTTGGCAAATTAAACTCTAGATTACCAACATGCTGAACATGACAACATCCATGAATGCTATAAGCCTATAATGTTATTACAATAAAACTTACCTTTACTAACTACCTTAATTACCTTTGGTATTTTCTCCAAATTCTACATGACCATTATCACTCTTTATAGGTGGTGAAGAGGATTGGTTTCCTCGTTATGCCTTGTGCATTATTTATCATGTATCCATTTGAGATATTCGGTTTCACTTTTAAGGCAAACCTACATCCACAAACACATCTATGATACCCATACTCTCAAGGTTCTAGGATCATTAACGTCAAATCCACCCTTAATTATATATCCTAGTTTTAATTTCATTCTTTAATTCAATATATTCAATTCAAAGATTGTGTTAAGGTTATGCTATTTACAGTTAGTTCTTGTTCAGGTGGTAGTCTAATGTACCTAATGCCTTTGTAAATGAGTTTTCTTGTAATTACTATATGTACACTTACATTTTTTTATTATTATGCACGATTACACTTACATAGAGCTAACATATTTTCTTAAAACCGTTCTTATTAATGAATATTATCTAAATTCCTCAAAGTTAGACTATAATGAGTCGTTGTTGTTATAATATTCATCATTTGAATAGTTAGAACATACCTATTGAAAATCCAAGGCCACAAGGCAAATTTCTTCTTTCTTCGTTTTTCAATCATCATCACTTCCACTCAAAGCCCTCACACAAATGCTCTTTGATTTTCGTACTTCGTTAATGGCTTAGGACATTATTACAAAATGGGTTTGATCGCCACAATTGTAGCATCTAGTTCCTTTTAAAATGGGTGTTTTTCCATCTAATAAGGATGTCTATTTTATAAATAGTCAAAGCAAAAGCATCGTTAAAAAAGATAAACGATGGAATTTATAATCCATCTTTTGAGGTAGACGTCGCCTTCATTAAACATTTGATCCAACATATTAAATGGGAACGCTTCAACCATGATAACGAAGAAAATTAAAATAATGTTAATCCAATGTTTTATTAATTGAATTTATTAGCCTAATAATATATTTCAATTATGCGATGTTTGAATATGTTAATTTTACGTTGTTTCCGATATATAAATGAATGAATGAAATTATATATATAATATTGTGTGATTAGTTTTGAAATGCAAGTAAACTTGTTTTGAACATGAATAAAAGATAATAAGTAAATTAAGCATGCTTGATTTAAATACCTTTAAAATATATTTATAATTAATAAAGATAAAGGTGTAAATAAAAATATTCATCTATTGTTTATCTTATGTTGTTTTAAAATATTTATAGTTAACATGTTCTTGATAGTGGATGCCCTACTAAAAACAGTTATAAATCTTAATTTGGGATCTAAATATCTAAATATCTAATGGTTCTATAGTTCATGTCGCTTCCCCAGTTATCGTTTAAGATTAGCATCACATGACATTTAAGATTGCCAACATATCAATGTCAGTTGTTGGATTTGTAATAAATGATAAAGATTAAACCATTTTGTATAACATCAATCAATGTAGAAATCCATGAAACTTTGGTATTAATGGTATTTACACAATTAGACTAGAGGGACTGGTTTTGTTATATAATGAAACTCGGTTCGAATTTCTATTATTATAAGAAGAGTCGATACAATTCGGTGACATGAGTTTTATATAAAAATGTTAGTGACTTATAATGTTAATAAATTTTATTATGAGCATATATTTAGTCAATGATGTTTTCTTTTGGTTTCATTAAACTTGTTTACTTTGTTCATAAAATATAATTATGACGGCCAGTATAAGAAATAAAGCTATTTTGTAAACAATATAAATAAGTTTAACTGTCATAGTTGATTTTAGGAATTGTGTGCGAATACTAAAAATTAGGCCATATATATATATATATATATATATATATATATATATATATATCTATATATAATATATATATATAGATATATATATATATAGGGTTGAGTTCGGTTGAGAACTCATAGTTTCCCGAGAACCCGAGAACTAAAAGTGGAGCGTTGGATCAAAAGTAATTCATTAAGGACATGATCGTCATCTTACCAATCTCATTTAATGTTTAACTAGTAAAGAACCCGCGGCTATGCTGCTTTTGGGGTAATATGGAAAAAATTGACAAACTTTAAAAGATATGTGCTGAAATTGTAAATCACCATAAATAGGGAAGAAAGTCGACAACTCCTAAAATTAGATGTCAAAAGTGTACAACGAAAAAAAGGGACACTGGTGGAGAAAATCCAAAATGTTGTGGCAATAATATTAAAGTTGTTAACGTTGGAAAAATATGTTGGCAAAATTTTAAAGGAGGTTTTTTTGTGTTTTTTTATGTTAAAATGTAAAACTTTTGACTACAAGGACAAAAAATGTCAAATTCATTAAAGAATTGTGGCAAAAACACCTTTGAATATAAGGACTAAAAGTGTCAAAGTCATTAAAGATTTGTGGCAAAAACTTTAAGGCACAAAAACTTAATCAAAAGGCAAAAAATGTAAAAATTTTGACTTGAGGGACTAAAAGTGTCAAGTTCAGCAAACTTATGTGGCAAAATCCTAAAGGCTAAAAGAATATTATTCCTAAGCTCCTTTGGATTTAATATATATATATATATATATAATTTTTTTGTGTTATTTAACATATTAATATAAATGTCTAAAAATTTACATCATAAATCAAATTTTCATATTTTTTAAAAATAGTATTTTTCGTTTTTTTTTTTAAATGCAGATTTTTTAATTTTTTTTTAGAAAACATGAATTTTTGAAAAAAAATTGAAAAAATATTTTTTTAAAAAAACTGCAAATTTTTCAAAAAACTACAATTTTTTTTAAAAAAAACTGCATTTTTAAAAAAAACTGCAATTTTTTTTAAAAAAACTTCATTTTTAAATAAAAAAACTGCAATTTTTTCAAAAAAACTGTAAGTTTTTTTTAAAGAAAGTTATATTTTTCTCAGAAAAAACTGTATTTAAAAAAAAAACTATAATTTTAAAAAAAAAACTGCATTTTTTTTAAAAAAAGTAAAATTTTAGGTGCATATGTACATATTTTTTCAAATGCAGATATGTACATTTCTTATACTATAATATTCGTAAGTAAATCACAACAAATCTCATATTTATTAATTAATCTATAAACATAATAGTACATGTATTTTATTCGATACAAAATAAAATATAAAAAATAAAAAATGCTACAAATTTCAAAGCGTTTTTCATGTCTTCATGTCAATATTTCCATATTTTCATCAATTTATCATTTTTCACCTCTTCAATATTGACCATAATTTCTTTCAAATCTACAAGAAAAAAAAATCGGTTGATGCAAAAACACTCATAAAAATACATATGTGATTTACATGTGAATCACATGTAATTCATATGTGATTTACATGCGATTCACATGTAATTCATATATGAATTACATGTGAATCACATCTAATTCATATATGAATTACATTAGATTCATATGTGAATAACATGTGATTTACATGTGAATCACATCTAATTCATATATGAATCACATGTAATTCATATGTGAATAACATGTGATTTACATGTGAATCACATGTAATTCATATGTGAATAACATGTGATTTGAATGTAATTCATATGTTAATTACATGTGTATCACATGTGATTCATATGTGATTTACATGTGAATCACATGTAATTTACTTAATAAGGTTCGAAAAAAAATCAAGAAGAGAAGAAAAAAAGTTACACAAGGGATTTCTAGAAGGTTGTCATTGTTGGTTCCAACATCAATCATGATAGGAAGAACCTGTTACAATAAAAAAAAGGAAAAAGATATATGTTTGCAAGTGAGAAAATTTTGAAATATGTATATATTGAGATAGATAATGTGCAAACATTACCCTTAATGTGTAATACAAGGAGGTACATACCAAAGTGAATGGCCCGCAACAATCAATACTTTATCATAATTTCACTAAATAACTCCTTAGGTGCTGCAGTTGCAAAGTATAATTAATAATAAAAAAGGAAAAGGAAAAGGAAAAGTACGAAATATCATATAATTTAAAATTTTAAAAATCTTACCTAGTAACCCTGTAAATCTTTCATATAATTTAAAATATTGTCCATTAAATTAAAAAGAAACATCTTACCTATTGTTCCAGTGCATTTTCTTCAGACTTTATATTCAAAGATTCCAACAAATTTATGGCTTCTTGAAACCCTTCAATTGTTGTATCCTCAGCATCAAGATTTCTATCTACATCAGCGACTTTCGCAAGGGACACAGCCACATCTAGAACCTGGAATCGGAATCAACAAACGGAATGGAATCATAAGATCAAATCACACATATCAAATATTATATAAATTTGTATATTTTCATATCCAATGTATAAAAAACCCTGTGATGGAGCTTTTGAAGAATCTTTTATAGCATTTCTACGAACATCAAGAGCCCGAAAGTAATGATCCCTTGCAGCTTTCAAATCACCTTCATAATATTTCAGATCCCCAATTTTATTCAAAGAAACCGAAAGTGTATGTGTAACCTGCATTACATATATATATTCAACTAAGGTTATAAACGTAATTTTACCTTCATTAAAAAAAAGATTCAAGAATTGTTTGTACCTCTAGATCATATGTTCCCACTTTCGAAAGGAAATTCACACTCTCATCAAAATATCCGACTGCAGAATTACCATCTCCCATTGCACGACTACAATTTTCAATATAATCATCATTATAACTTTGACTGGTCAACAGAGACAAAAATCAAAAGATTATGTTCTTAATTTAATGAGATTGTAATTGAGTTTGAATTTTTTTGCATATCATGTTCCTGATTTACTGTAATGTGAGTTTAAATGACCAAAAAGGCATTTTTAGTATTTCAGTTTGCAGTATTCTTGACATATTCTTGGCGGGGGAAAATGCTGGTCACTCAAAATCTAAACATAATCATTTGCTTATGTATCGTGTAATAAATTGAAAAATATACATTTGTAATCAGGGCCAAAGAAAAGAACAAAAGCATACATCAAAATCTAAACATTCAAAATAATCTGATGCCTTCACTACAATGTTAGCTTTGGAACTTATAATCTACAGTTAACATTCATCTTTGTTATGTTCTCGTATAAGCTGAAACACACGATCTAAAAGCTTCGAGTCTTCAGGTTACCATAAGAACTGCTAAGTGCATTCATATATACGACCATACAAATGACAAAATGAGTGATTCCAGAGATCTAAATTCCACCATACAAAAGAATGGAATCATATTCCAAAATGGTGAATTGCCCGGTTGAAATGTTGAACTGTTGGATAATGCACAATGTCACCAGTAAAAAAAGCACAACCAATAGCTAACAACATGTTTGATAAGGTGGATCCTAACAATGATTGTTGAACAACCTTATCTGTAATAAAACCTTATCTGGTCACTCAAAGAAACATTTAACTTATGAGAAGAACATAAATATTGAAATAAACATTCAGAAAATGAGATTAATGATTTACCTGATTGTAGTTGTAGGCACTTGATTGTCGGAGTTTTCATTTCGATTTATTGGTGATTATATGTGGTATAGATCCGGTTAGGTCGATTTGGCAATAGATGCTTGTACAATCAAATACTTCATCGACATAGGATCGTCTTCTCTAATCAAAGGCCGATTTGGCAGTGGAAGCTTCTCTAATCAAATACTCGATCGATCGTCCGAAATACAGTGGAGATGCGAATTTCGTTTCGTTTTTTATAGAGAAGTCTGCAAACATGGATTCATCAATATGAAGACGATAAGTGAAGATATTTAACTCCTACTCAGACTTCATCGATAACCAGATACAAACGCAATAAGATCTATTCCGGGAGGTGATTACAGTGTAGGTTTTAATGGAGGCGGATATGGTGTAGGTTTAGGAGGAGACGATGGTGGTGATGTTGTTTTTAGGGAAGATCAATGTACTCGATTCTCTCCGATGTTATCCTGATCAAATGAATCGTCGTCTCGAAGGCATAAAGATGTGTATGTGTGTTTGTGTTTGTGAGGGAGAAAGAGAGGGGGGAGACGATGAGGAAGCCGATCAATTGATGGGGGTGACGATTATCGGAGGCGGCCATGGATTTAAAACAGTGGCTTCATCCAACAATCAACGATGAAGACGTGATGTAGGTGTAGAGAGAGAGAGAGAGAGAGAGAGAGAGAGGCAGGATGAAGAGAGAGAGATAGGGGCAAAGTTAACGTGATTAAATCTGAAAAGGGGGAATCAATTACACTGTCCCAAAAATACCCCTGATTCTTTTTAATAAGATGCCCCCGTCCATTTTTATTTTCACATATTTACAAATATACCACAAAGCATCCTAACCCTCTATTATTTTAATCTAACGATCATTGTTTAGTTATCGGGTTCTCAGGAAACTTTGAGTTCTCAAATGATCCTTCCTCTCTCTCTCTCTCTCTCTCTCTATATATATATATATATATATATATATATATATATATATATATATATAGAGAGAGAGAGAGAGAGAGAGAGAGAATGAGAGAGAGTTAGGTTCAAATGTTTCTAGCAACTATTGTGTACATGAATGCACCAGTAGGAATTTAGAAATAAATAAATAATTAAATAAATCATTTAAGGGTATTATAGTAATATTAGCATATTTAATTATGGTAGATAATTAATATGTTTATTATTCCTTTAAATATGGAATGTCAAAGTCAAAATCTGTTAAAAAAACCCTAGCCGATTATTTTTCTCTCTCTCTGGAATTCATCTTCACGCTCCAAAAATCACCACCGACATCAAAACTGAACCACCATTCAAGTTGATTTTGTAATTCGCTGGTGAAGTCCAACTGCTGAATCGATGGTTTGAAGGTTGGTCTCTGTCACCAACGTAAGTTTATTTGATTTATGATTCTTCTACTTCTTGTTTGCTTGCAATTCTTCCTCTGAATGCTACTGATTTACGATTCTGCACATGAATTTTCCATTTGATTTATTCACTGATTTTCGATTCTTTGATTTCTGATTATCCTTCCTGTTGATTTCCGATTTCACTAGTATACCCACTGTGCTCTCATATTACATACTTATAAAGCTTGCATTTTCCCTTGAATGTCATGCATTTGAAACCCCCCACAATAATTTGCTAAAACCTCATGCATTTGAAACCCCTAAACCTTTTCACCTTCTTATTAATTAATCACACATAATCAATGGTAATTCATATGAGATAATAATTTGCTAAAACCTCATGCATTTGTATGGTATTAGAACATGTTTGAGTTTTTGGGTTTTAGACTTTAGTAAATGGGTAATCCGTTTGATACGTTGGATTTGAAGCTATCTTATTCGAATTACCCAAAACAAGAGATAAATTAATAATATATGCTCATGCATGTTTTGTACAAGCCCCAATCAAAAATACAATATATCATGATCATACAATTAAGTGTGTCTTTTTTTCCATTTTTGGCTTTATAACAAAAGTTTGCTTACGTGGCGAAGAAAGAAAACTTGAAGATGAATATTTAGGTTGAATGTTTATATAAGATTTGTTTTCAATATATAATATAGATATAAATACACAAATGTGTGTCAAATACAGCCCATCACAAATTTAATGTTATAAACTACAATAAAACTCAAAGTGGTTTTCCAAATATAATGTTTATACTATAATATAATATATTAGAAGAATATCATATAGTAGACGAATCTCACATGTTGTGCAGAAATTTAGTTGCATAGATAATATATTATAATTATATTTCATTTAAAATATGTTAGGGTCATTTGGTTATTACATTGTTGTATTAGGCACTATAGTCTCATATATTTTGAATGACTCTTACAAAAATGATGTCCGTAATTTGAATATAACGTAATATCTTATGATGTTTATTGAATGATATTATCTTCGATTGAGCACTTAGTAATTGGAATCAACTTTATTATAGTTAAAAATTTTGGCTCCGTTTTTTCTTTTTCATTAGTTCTAGAATATGATTTTTTATATTAACTTAAAATATGTCACTATCTTAAAATAGATTGAGAATGAGATTTTTCATATTTACTTAAAATACGGCACCATTTTCTATTCAATAGTAAACTAACAAAAGTCGTTAAATATGTATTTTTATGAGGTTCAACATAAATAGACCACCACAAATGAGAATCCATATCTAATCAATTATCAATTAATTACATTAGATACTAATGTGTACATAAAAATTACATTTAAAATTTTAAACTAATAGTAAAAAAATTTCATTATTTATTATGATAAAAAAATCTGTAAATCAAAAAATATACATGCTATTTAATCGCATACAAGTTTTATGTATGGCTTATTCACAATACATTAAACCATATATAACCATATTAAACTACATAATTATCCCACTGCGCAACGCACGGGCATTCGCCTAGTTCTTCTTTAATTTTAATATCCATCATTCAAGTTGATTTTGTAATTTAGAATTTGACTTAAATAATGATAGATTGTTCTTGATACTTGATTGTTCTTGATTTTCCATTTGTTCTTGATACTTGATTGTTCTAAATTTGGCTTGTTTGATGATAATGCCTAACAAGTGTTTGTTGAAATGTCTGAAAGAGAATCTAAAGAATTTAACATTATGGTATGCATTCTGTCAGAATTACTAGCAACACATGTTTTATGTAATTGTTTAAAAAGGTAATTAATTTGTCTGTGTATTATTTTGGTTCAATTTGTGATTCTGAATTCCAATTTCTATTGTCCCTCGTTATTGTATATTTGGAATATAGAATTATATTAGCCGTAAATACGGTACTTTTGAATGTATTCTATGTATTCTGTCAGAATGTATTATGCCAGAATAAAATCTATGTATTCTGCCAGAATGTATTCTATGTATCTTGTCATATTCTATGTATTCTACCAGAATATATAAAGTGATAGTTAATTGCAAGTAACATGTTTTTAACCATTACTAGTTTTTGTTGTATTTGTGATAGGAATGGCTGCAAGAATGCGTTGAAGACCTAATATGAATAACTTGAAGAATGAATAAAGTTTGATCATACTCACAATTTAAGAATGTTGTTATTTTTTAAGAATTTTATTCATTTTTGTTGATATTATTTTAGAATATATGTATAATTATATTAAAATGTATAAAGCTTTTAGTCTGTAAGAATATGTATGAATTTGTATTTAAGTTCGGATGTATAAGAATATATTAGAATGTTGTTATTTTTCAACCTCGAATTCAAGAATTTTGTTATTCTTCAATAATATTCTAATAAAATAAATTCTGAAAGAATATCATTCTAACAAAAAAATATTCTGACAGAATAAAATCGGTTATATTTACAAATGTCGTTAGAATTAAAATTGAATTAGTTAACAAAATTAAGATTTTTAAAATTAGGAAAATTAATTATCCTTAAAAATCCGAAAATTTCCTTTTATAAATGCAGTTAATTGTCCAAAATATCATTTTGCTAAAATTTGTGGGATTATATGGTACATGTTATCCCATTGTAATATCATACACTTTCAAATCATGTCCATTGATTAATTTCATCCATTGGTCCAGATCTGTGCATTCTGGCACACAATAGTTAGTAAAAACAAAATAACATAAATCTATATATATATATATATATATATATATATATATATATATATATATATATATATATATATATTATAACCAAAATTTATTAATTATACAATAATTGTTATAACATGAATCAAAACAAAAAAAACGGTAATACAATATAAAATAACACACAATTATCTAAACATTAATTATTTTTTATAGCGTTTTCCGTTTGGTGAACATAAAATCGAACAGAACAAGACATCCGAAATTACTTTATTGTCCTTTATACACATTAACCATCTCTATC